TATCCCTTTAAGATAGCATTAGCAAGCATTAGTACCATTATGTGTATGCAACCCTATACTGAAAGGCAAAAAGACAGAAGTGTTGGGAAATTTGGAAATGAGAGCATAATGATGAAACAAGGAAAAGATGTAATGGGAGTTGGTTGAAGGTGGAGTGTGAGGGTTTATGCAGTCTTTTCTACTGTGTGACCTACTTAAGGAATACAAATGTCACACCAAACAGCAAAAGGTCGTTTAAAGGTTCTTTAAGGTGACTCACATAGACTTAGCCTCTGGCCACAGTCTTTCACACTTTCATTACGGTTTCTTGGCCTTCCTCATACATCCCCTGATCATTTCATCTGGGTGAATGCTATTATCGAAAACAAATCCTGTGCTATCTGTCTTCTCACTTCTTTATTCCAGAATCTAAAATTGAGCTAAAATTACCCATTTAAAGGGTCACTCCACCCATTTGCATTAAGAGGTCCATTGTTAGACAACCAGTCATACTATTGAATGGTCGTGCAACATTCTTTCATTTTCCCCTGAGACGAGAGAAATCTACTATTTACCTTTTTCACTTCCTCCTACAATGACGCAAAAATCGTCATTTGACGTCATTGTAGGAGGAAGTGTAAAAAGGGGGGATTTCTGTATAGACTACAAGCACAAATTCCCACCCTTTCAAACCCGCCCATAGGGGGTTGTGCCTAATGCGCTAACAGAGCTATCACAGATCAGTGGGTGGGACTTCACTTGCAGATACTGAAAGCAATATCAGCCATCTTGTTTATAAGCTAAGCTAACAAGCGCTGTGGAGATAGGAAGTTACGACAATGACGGAAGAAACTAAACATGATATGGAAGTAGAGGATTTTGAAATTCTGCTGCTCGAATCCGCTCTTCGTGGCTATCTTTACGAGCCGCAATATAGTGAAGAGCAGCTGAGGCTGATGGAGGATCAGGAGGCGGCTGCCTGTCGCGAACGAGGAGCCCGGACTGGGTCGAGCTGAGGCGGGCTGCTGGTGCGTGTGCTCTCGCTGTGCGCTACGGACACAGATAGAGTCCGTCTGCTGCAGAGAATTTCAACGATCGCAATTTCTCCTAGACGAAATCTCTGAATCAGACGACCACACGGACGTTTGTGTTGTGATGTGAACCATCCTAGTTTCGCCTGACTGAAAATCCAGGTATCATGCAATAATTCACCATATAGAAAGAAATACAAACGAGTAATTCACTAATGAGTTTGCCAATGTAACGGGGTTCGTTGTTGTGGGAAGAAGGAGGCTGGAACCGGCGAACATTTAAACATTTTAATAGTAAAATAAACAAATACAAAACAAAAGTATAAGCCAGCTGGCCACACACAACAGAAACAAAACATAAAATCAGGCCTGTTCCTTTTGTGCTTCCGCTCCTCCGTGAGAGATATGAGACCGCTGCACAGGTGCCATTCATTATCACTGGCGTCGTCCTCTCACGTCCCTCGCCCTCGTCCTGCTCGCCACAGCCAACTAACTAGACATTTTTTGTGAAATGAATTTCAAACTCATTTAGCAGCTAGCCTTCTTGTAGACGGAAGAGTGATTTCTCTGATGTTTGCGCTGTTCTGGATTAGTGGGAGTGGCTTGCGGAGCTGTGCAACGTGGTGCATTGTGGGAGTTGTTGTCTTACATACAAATGCGCCCTAAAGTTATTTTCTGTCTTTTCTCGGTCAAGAGGGCACCAAATTCAAAATTTCTTTTACATTTCGACTACATATATAACCCACTTTCAATAAAGATTAATGTTGAAATGGGTGGAGTGACCCTTTAAATTCAAAATTGTAGCACTTGGCTCCCTCCTACTGTGGACGTTCATGCAACATCAACCCAAGTGCTGAGAATCTTTTTGGCTGTCGCAGTCACTTCCTATCCAACACTTCACCGTGGAGGTGACACACACTAAGTTGCCCTTGGCGACTGCATTCCGTGGGTCAAAGTTCAATACCTTGATTTACAGCATCCTGTCTGGTCGGCTCTGCGGAAATGAGGCTCCTCACCACAGCGTCTTCAAGAAAAAAAACATCACTGCCAAGAGAAATTGACACACGGTTATCTTTTGGTTCCTGCAACCATACTTTCCTGTAGAATCCAGATATGTTTACTGCTAATATTATTTATTGAAAAATATGGCTTAAGTATGATATGTATAACAAATCATATTCATATAAAATCATGTACATTTTTTTAAATAATTTTTTACTTTATTTTATAATTAATTAGTTTGCTTATTTACTGTAACAGTTTTTCTATACAATTTTCAAGCTCTGAAAATAACAAAAACACCACAAAAGTGGCATAAAATGGTTTCATTTGCAGTTGTTTACAGTAGTATTCACACATACAGTAAAGTCAAACATCACTGGTCTTATGATCATCTTTAAAATCAAACCTGGTGTGATGCATTTTGAGACTATATTTAGATGCACACATAAGCTATTGAGATTTGCAAGTTGCTATGATTTTCACTGAATAACAAATTTCATTCTATTCCTCACAAAAAAAAAGAATAATTTGAGGTTACTGCATTAATCATATGGGCTATCCAATACTTTTGTGTTGTTTTTCGCGAGTCCTCATTCCCATTCACTTCCATCATTTAAAAAAGAACAGCCAGGATATTCTATAAAATGTATTTGTTTTCAGCAGTATTTATGGGTGAGATTCCTTTAATTATCCAGTGATTTACATTGAAATGGTTCAGTCATTGAGAATATTTTGGTTTTTTATTCTCTCGTCTTTCTGATGTGGGATGCTTTCCTTATTGATTAGTCCACATCTGCGTGTACAGGCAAGCCTGTAGTTTTGAAATTGGAATAGATTTTTTCCCTTCCCCATTGATTGGCTCGGGTGACAGCTAATTACTCAAGAGTGTGTTTGTGCGTGTGTTATGCACAGTTGATATTATTTCATGTGGTTCTTTAGATAGGGCGGTCTAGTTGACTGACATGTTTTAACATCTGTTGTATTGTTCCTGCAGAGAACAGTCTTTTTGCAGGCACATGTACGTAGCGTGTTACGGTGTACTGGCATGTTTGTGTTTTCATTTCCTCTGGTTAATATTTTGTTGCTGTGGCTGTCACAAGATAAGATACTGCAGGGCTGTTTGTGTGTGTGTCACGTTCCTGCAAAAACTGTGTGTCCATAAGTCTGCTGTGGAGAAGCAGTCTCTTTCAAACAAGGAATTAAAAAACAGATTAGCAAACTGTGGTGTTTTCTATGAAAATGTCTCGTCTTCTGAGAGAGACAACTGACCTTTCACTCAAACACACACACACTTGACTTTTAACCGACTGGTATCAAGCTTATACGTCTATGACTTAAAATCCCCCTGTAGTCAATAATTATATCCCTTAAAAGTAATCTATGATCACCAAAATGACATATTTAAATGTTTTTTCCTTGAAAAAAAAAATCTTCATGCCTTAAAATAGCTTGAATGTATCTCTACACCCTTGCCTCATTTAGTATATGCGGTTCTATGAATATGCAAATTAGCCCTGCCTCCACTCACTCACACCAGCGCAGAGATAATCACACGTTGACCTGATTGGTTACAAGGTAGTTTGTGACGTCAGAAACACTAGCGATTTCAACCCGTACTTTTGAGACTGTAGTTTTAAGGAAAAAATACTCAGCAATGGCATTGACTTGTCTTAAAGCATATTAAAAATACCACATAGACATATAAACAACATTTTAAAAGCTTGATTTTTTTTTTATATATATAATTCTTTTAGGGCCACTGTACACTACCAATCAAAAGTCTTGACACAACTGACTTAAATTTTGTTTTGCAAACAAATATTGTGCTTACATTAAACAAAATATATATTTATTTATGTTTATTTGTTTATTTATTTAAACTGCATAATTCTCATACTTCCATTTTGTGTTATTTCATAGTTTTGAAGACTTTACTATTATTCTAATGTGTGGGAAGTTGTAATAAATAAAGAATGCGCAAGTGTGTCCAAACTTTCGACTGGAAGTGTAGTTCAGGACTAAAATTAAGTAGGAGAGCTTAAAAAACTAAATGCTCAGATAATGCTTTCTCTAGGTACATTTGTGAAATAATAACACTCTTTTTGTTTTCATATCAAACAGATCAGCGGAGCCTCTCTTTGAGCTGGGATATTATCGTTAAATTCTCTGAAGAAACTTGGCTTAGAATGTTTAGCATGTGCAGTTTATTGTCTCTTCATCTTTTCCCTATTTTGTTTATTTTCACACGTGTTAACGACTTCACAGCTTGCCCAGAACAACAGGAGAATTAGCCAACACAGGCTTGATTAAACAAGCCAAAATATGGTACGACAGACCTGTGTTGTGTTTAGAGATCGGGAAGTTTGTAGAGGCGTAGAGATATGACAGATGTGCTGTGCATGTAAGTGTGTGTATCTGTGGCAGTCAGAGCGCATGGCCGCTGGATATGGATGTTCTCGCCAGAACGGCCGTGTGTGTCCACCTCTCTTATCTCCTGCAGATCCCTTCCTTTCATCTCCTTTCAGACCTACAGGGTACTGGACAAACCCCTCCCTAAAATATGGTCCCCCTCAACACTCACTTACTCACACACACACACCAATGCTGCTATCTCACTGCCACAGATGAGGACCTTCATGTACAGGCCAAATGACATCCCCCCCCCCCCCCCCCGATCCTCGTCCCACTACCACACACACATTAGGGTTGGTTCTCATCTCACCTGGCTCATTCATTGTCCCCTCCTCCTTGGTTAGCCATCTTTTCCTCCCTTATCCTTCCCCTCCTGTTGTTTTTCTGCCTTTGCCTCGACTCTAATCTGAGCCTGCGTGACATCTGGAATGTCCTCTGGTTTTGATCGAGATAGTCAGGAAAGCGAGGGGGGGGGGACGCAGGCGGACACCTCTAAACACTGTAATTTAAAGAATCTATTGTGTTAATTACACAGCAGAGGTTCAGTTCTGTTCTCTGTATTTGTTTTTTGTTCAGGATCTTCAGTGACAGTGTGGCAGACATGAAAACCCAAGAGCACCGCTCCAGCCCTCTGAAATCACACACACAGAGTGAGTATAGAGATAATAATATGCAGTCTTATGAAGCACATCTTTTAGGGTCAAATAATAATACTGTTGCAGTTGTACTCACAAAAAATGCTGTCTGCTTTTGTAGTATTCAAATAGATTAATCAACAGAGTACTTTTTAATTGTTTAATGTACATCATACAGACATTACATCATACAAACATTTTTTGTTCACTTAAAGTTAAACTCATTCTGTTCCATTCAGCTTACTGTATCCATAAAAATAAAGAATGCTTTCTGTGTGAACATCCTTTAATCCTGACACTTATTTGCTAATTGTTCTCTGATGAATCGGATCACAAAGACCCACCATTAATAACAAAATGAGTCCCATTTTTTTATGGCTGTGCATAACTGTTACTAAATTTATATCAATGTGAAATGTCTTAAGTTGGAAAAAGAAATTCACTTCAAAAGTCACTTCAGTGTACTCCGGTACCTGCCCATCCCTAGTAGTCATAAAGAATTATACTACAAAATTAGGCAATTTTGTAACGTTAGCCCATCAGGTAAGTCCCCATGACCTATTGACCAACATCTGGCCTGCATTCCTTTACGCATGGGTGAGGTGTAAACACACACGTATGCACACTGAATTCATTCTCACAAACACATTCTGGTTTTTACAACAAAAAAAACAGACCTACACATAGATATATGTGGTGGCCGGAGCGTAACCTTTCTACTAACATAAACACCAGATCTCACCTTTGAACTCTTCACCTTTCCTTCTGCTAATTGGTCCGTGATGCTCTTCTTTTTCTTCGTGAACATTACTGTGGCTAAAAATAAGTCCCTATTTCTTGTACCTAAAATAGAGTACACTCCACTCCTTCTGCTGTTCTCATCTTCCCCTTTTAGGCCTGGTGAAAGCCAGCTCTGTATGATGTTTCTTTTTTTAACCTAATTAATTCTATAGTTGCCTAAATGGGATTAGGAATGACCCTGCTTTGCACATACAGACTTCTGAAAAACCGTGGAAACATCATTTAAGTTTTTTCCATCTTCATTAGAAATCTGATGATCTGATGCATTTAAACTGATAAATGCATATTTTAAATGCACTGTAAGCCACTTTGGATAAATGTGTCTGCCAAATGAATAAATGTAAATGTACTTCTTTTTTTATCACTGCTGAGCTTTTTCATACATTTCCCATTAGTTATTTTTCACGTCAGCCGTTATATTAGACAGAAGTCCGCAAGGTTCACAGTCATGATGTGTTTTGAATATAGTTTAACGGTTATTCCTGTTCATGTAATGAAGCTTCTTCTGCTGGGCCATATTTATGCTTTAAAGTAGGGTAATTCCTTCTGCGTGTGTGTGTGTGTGTGTGTGTGTGTGTGTTAGCGTGAATTAGAAAGCATGAGAAGTTATAAGACTTAGTGAGCTGCTGCATGAACAAGAGCAATACGCTGAGCTTGAATCAAACTCTTTGCCCCAGGGTGAATTGGTGTATGTGTGTATGAAACAATGTAAAAGGAGAACAGGGTTAGACCCTTTTTATTCGCTTTAGTTCTGTACATCTGATTTCTTAAATGACAAAGTTGAAGGTGTTATCTTATCTTGTTGTGACAGGTGATGCACGGCCCCACTCCCAAATTAAGGGTCTCCAGTTTCGCAGCATTGCACCCAAAGCCCCAGCAGTGGTTCCATCATCTGCAGTTCTGTCCTGCCAACCTCCCTCAGCCCTTCCAGAAGCATCCACGGCTGTCAGCCCTAAATCCATCCTGGTCCCTGCCCAGAACTATGCACTCATGCAGGTGGCTGGACAAGAGGGAACCTTCTCATTGGTGGCCTTACCTCAGACACAACAGCAACAGCCAATCCAGAAGAACCTTAAGCTGCCTATTCCTAGATACCAACCGGTGAGAAGCAAGAGCGCTACAGAAAAAGGCAGTAGCAAGTTGCTGAGTCCAGCCAAGGTTTCTGCAACCACTCAAGCTCAATCATCTGCTGTGAAATCAGAACAGAGTTCAGACCCAGTATCTGAGCAGCTTATAATAGACACTCCTACTTCGTCTGAAATCAACATTGCACCATTGTTCCCTGGTGCACAGACGGATCGAAAAATGGAACAAAAGAGCGATACCCGTCCACTCAAAAACCAGCACTACCCTTCTGGAACCTCCCTTGTTGCCCCTGTCAAAAAAATCTCACCAGTTAAAACCCAAATAGAGGGTTCAGCCTCGGCGGGCAGTGCCATCACAGTTCTCTCTCCCACTATCTTTAGCAAAGCTGTTCAGATCATTCCATCTCCACCCAAGGGCAAGCTGCCCATCCTGCCCTATGCCAAGGTGAAGAACTCCCTCCTGGTACCAACCAGCCTTGCCAGCACCCCATTCTCAGACAAGCAGACTGTGAGTGGAGCCAAAAGCAGCCTGAAAAGCCCTCCAGACAACAACATCAAGTCCGTAGACAGCCAAGTTAAGAGTGAAAGCCTGAGCCAAGACCACAACAACACCCAGTTCAAGAAAACTCCAGGCAAAAAACGTGGGAGGAAGAGGAAAACCATGGAGGATATTCTGGCCTTTGAGGCCCGAAAGAAGAGATCCTTGTCATTTTTCAGTAGGAGGGTACCTGAGAAACCTCCAGTTGGTGTTCCAAATTCTGCATCTCAAGAGAAGCTGCTGGACATATCCAAAAAGTACCGTAGTATTCGTCCCAAGCCGGTACTGGTAATGGAAACCGCTATTCCACAACTTGTACCGCTTCCTTCTTTGTCAACACCAGACAACCCTGATCAGGAGCTATTATTAGGACAGCAGATATCAGGAAAAATATTGAGTGCTCCCCAGTCTTCACAAGCTACTGATCAGCAGCCCATGGCAGATTGTAAAGGTGGTGGAGGTGTGATTTACACAAGTCGTCCACTGTACCGATGTCCTACCTGCAGCAGGTGTTTCCAGTTCAAGCATCACTTGCAGAGCCACATGAACAGCCACAGTAACCTGCGGCCCTATGTCTGCCCAGTATGCAGGAAGGCCTATGCTCACTCGGGCAGTCTTAGCACTCATATGAAACTGCACCATGTGGAAAGCAGGCCCCGGAAGAGCCTTTGCTGTGAATTCTGCGATAAGTCATTTGGCTATGTGGGTGTCTACTTCAGCCATTTGAGAGAGGTGCACCGGGTAATACTCACTGTTGAGCCATCCATCAGTCAACATGAAGAAAACATGTCTGTAGAAGAGTAAGTAACAAACATTGACTCTTGAGCGTTGACTCTTGCTAAAGCCTTCTTGTTCTTGACATAGATGATCCTTGTCTTGCAGGTCTTCAGATGCTGATGAACAGGCCTCGGAACAGCGTGTCGACCCAGTCGAGCTACAAATTAAGTGTGGGCGCTGCCAGGCCATCACACCTACCTTTGCTGACATGAAGCTGCATTTGTTGTACGTGCACGGAGAGGAGGTCCAGGTCCGACCGAGGGATGGGGTCATGCGTGGGGGCCGTGAAGCAGAGGATGAGCTGGTCAAACATGCAGCACATTACTGGAGGCAACTCAATGAGAAACGCAACCTAGTGCACTGTGGCACCTGCAATGAGGAGTTCTTCTCCTTTTCCAAGTTCAAATGCCACCTGCATTCTCACCATCAAGGAGCTAGAGAGAGTCGAGAAGAGGAGGAGGAGGAAGAAGAGGTAGGTAAGGAGGGCCATGTATTAAGGGGCCTCAATAAAGGTATATCCCTGAGGGTGGGAGCTCACTTTAACTGCATCCTTTGCAGTAAGGTGTTTAATAAGAGACCAGAAGTTATTGAGCATTGGAGGGCACAGCACAACTGTGAAAATCCCACCCTTCTTTGGGATGTCCTGGACTTCAAAGGGGAGAACAAGCCTACTGATGGGCCAAATTAACTGCAAATGGGTAATTTATTATTTGCTTCACGTGTCGATTGTGTGGTTTATGCAGAAAAAAAATCCACTAATAGACTATGTTGTTGTTGATGTTTTCTTTTGCACTGTTTTTAATATCACAAATGTTGTTTTGTAATGCTCGAATTTTGTTAAGTTTATTTGTTTTATTTTTGGTCTTTTTTTCTTTAACGTTTTAATGTTTTATGCATAAAAGCATTATAAAATAATCCATAACATTCAAATTACAAACCTCAAATTCTATCAAAAACATTACCATGGCCCAGCTGTAGATGTAATACAACTGCCAGAAAATGAAAGACCCAAGGATGATAATCATAATTTTTAAGGTTTGTGGAGACATAGTGTGCTAATAACTGCTTCAACTAAAGTGAATCAGGTGAAACAGACTAACAAAGGCTCATCAAACACATTGGCACTCAGACAAATTGAAAATTTGCAGTAGACTGAATACAAATGGGTCATGATTAGCATGCTTGAAATAACATATCAAAGAACATTCAAAGTAATACGAATTATCAGTGACATTCCACAAACACATAACCATAATCACACAGTTTCAGTCCTCATTCCACCACTAAAATAAATACTGCCGGAAAACCTCTGCTGACAGTCACTTTTCAATCCAAGACAAACAGGTCCACTAATAAATATTTAAAATATCCCTGAGAATATAAAACTCAATTTGGCCAATCTTCAACTGTTAGGTTTAGAATGAATGCGTGTGTGTGTGTGTGTGTGTCATAAATATTCTGTGTTGTATTTTTGGATGGAAATGTTATATATTTAAAAGAATTTTCCATGGTGAAATGTGTGGTCCTTAATTTATATTATCAGTCTATTCCAACATATTTGTTTTTCCGTTCATAAAAAATATTTCAGGGTAAAGGAATGTTAAAAACCCTCTCAATTGTTATATATGTATACTTGTATAGATAGATTAAAAATATATATATAAACAATACTATATACAAGCTGTATATTGAAAATATATATTTACACAAAGACTTCCCCCTCCTGTTTTCTCTTAAAAAAAAATCAATAATTAAATATATTTATTTGTTAAAATGTCTTAAAGGGTTAGTTCACCCAAAAATGAAATTTCTGTCGTTAATTACTCACCCATATGTCATTCCAAACCCGTAAAACCTTTGCTCATCTTCGGAACACAAATTAAGATATTTTAGATGAAATCCGAGAGCTTTCTGACCCCCAGATAGACTGCAACGTTATCACCAGTTTCAAGGCCCAGAAAGGTCGTAAAGACATCGTTAAAATGGTCCATGTGACTACAGTGGTTCAACCTTAATGTTATGAAGCGACGAGAATACTTTTTGTGTGAAAAACCACGAAAATAACGACTTTATTCAACAATTTCTTCTCTTCTGTGTCAGTCTCCGACGCTGTTCACATAAGCACCACGATGCAGGAGCCGGCCAATACTGAGCCGGCGTTCTGTCGTAGAACCCGCAAGCACTGCGCTGTGTTTACAACGTGAAAAGACTCGGAGACTTACTGGGCAGAAAAGAATTTGTTGAATAAAGTTACTATTTTTGATTTTTTTTGTGCACAAAAGTATTCTCGTTGCTTCACTGTAGTCACATAAACCATTTTACCGATGTCTTTACGACCTTTCTGGGCCTTGAAATTGGTGATAATGTTGCAGTCTATCTGGGGGTCAGAAAGCTCTCGGATTTCATCTAAAATATCTTAATTTGTGTTCTGAAGATGAACGAAGGTCTTACAGGTTTGGAACGACATGGGGATGAATAATTAATGACAGAAATTTAATTTTGGGGGGAAATCACCCTTTAATTGTTTTTAAAAACCTGCAGCTTGAACTAGACTACACTACCAGTCAAATGTTTGAGCACACTTGACAGAGTTCAATGGTTGATGGGGCCTATTAGTAAAGAATAAGCAGCTAACAAGTGTCCAGCAGACATGGCATCTCCTTTCGAATTGTTTAAAAAGCATCCCAGGTGGATAGTACTTCATGAAGTTTGTGGAGAGAATGAGTGTGCATAGCTGGAATAGGCAAAGGTTGGCTACTTAAAAGCTAAAATACAATGCATGATTTTTACCCTGATTTGCGGTCTAGAGGAGTTGACTCAAGTTGCTGAATGTTATAGGCAAGATGGAGATTTTGGGCTGTCAGAGTTGAAAAATTTGACAGAAAACCACATATTGTATAATCCCCACAGACTCAAATTCCATCTAGTCGGAGGATATAAAATATATTCGATATTTTGAGTTGATTTTAAAACAGTTTGTTGTGTTCGTAACAACTTGAAAGTCTGGTAGTGTGTATAGTATATGCCCAAATTTGTCTGTAACCATTTACAAGTCAGCAAGTATATGATGCCTAGTTTTTTTAAAATCTGTAGTGTATTCCAACCTTAACAAAATTCTATTTGTTATTTCATAGTTGACTTCACTATTATAAAAATATGGACTTTAGAAATGATAAAGAATGAGTAAGTGTGTTCAAACCTTAGACTGGTGTACGTTCTGTAAACGGTTATCTTCTTGGACGGGTGCTATGTAAAGTGAACTGATAAAGTTCACTAACATTACTTTCTTGGCAACAAAACAAGCCGTAAATCCCAGAGCACCAGTTGAATTCATATTTTAGATAACCTAAAGTCAACAATTGTATCAGTCATCAAACAGACAACTGCTGCTTGTCTTGTTGAAATTACCCCTGAAATGTTTTCATTGTGGAACTAACTCTTAAGAGAATGAAAATAAATGTTTTGTTTAAAATGTGGTCTTATTACATTTAAAGTGATTGATTGTTTTATGATGGGCAAAATACTTTTCAGGCTTTACGCCTTAATCAACACTTTCTTTGTGGTTCAAAGCCATTAATGACAAGTGTCTGGTAGATTTTCCAGTTCTGAAGATTTCCCTGCCACTGTGATAGTTAAACTTGTCTGTTTTTTGCTTAAACCAAGCCCTGAGTAGCAAGAGAGCGTCGTCCCTGCATTATTGATTATTGGTGCCTAAATAAAAATATCTAACTACAATAATAGTCTGTGTTTATTGTATGCCACAACCTCATGGTTGTCTGACTTCCAGCATCTCTCTAATGAACACAATTGAACACATAAGCTGCTGCATCTTAAAGGCTTACCTTATTCCATACAAAGACATTTACCGCAAGACTTCATTTGTAGGTTGCACAGAACAGTGAGCAGTGTAAGGCAAGAATTAAATCAATTTCAGCCGAACACATGATGGATTCATATTAGTGTATTTTATGCAACAACCTATATTCACTGAAGGAGTGCTAATGCTTCTATAATGTCTGCTTGAATGTATGCATCATTAAATTATCACTATAGTCATCATTATATTGTAATGTTAACAGACACATTTCGAACAACATTGGAAAGAACGGCTTTCCCACCTCAGTGTGATTTTAATCACAAACGCAACATCTGGTATTTTACAAGTATATTGCTTATGATTGTGAATAAAGGTTTTTCATAACACATTTTTATATTGTATTCCTCAGTGCTTCCTGTGCAGCTCAGCCTCTGATTTATAGCCTACATTAAATGATCATAACTTCTCCGTCCCAATATTGCAGTCACTTCAGATGCAAGTAGTGAAGGAACGTCAACACCGATGCATATTCCTCTTTAATCTGTGTTGCACTCTTTCTCACTTCTACTTTCTCTCCTTTCGCACCAGAAACATGATCACTCGCAGGAGATCAAAGCCCATCCTTCTAACAGGATTAGAGGATGGAGCTTTAGAAGGAGAGCGTCTGTTTTAAAGTAAATGAAGGATGTAGGGCTGTAGAAAAGAAAGGCAAAAAGGATGTTGCAGGGAGAGAGAAAGGAAGTAGGAGATGGTATAGAGAAAAATAAAAAAATGCTGGGGAAAAAAATAAAACAACAAAAACAGCAGAAGAAAGGGGGAGAAATCATTTGCAGAGATGACCATGATGAGGAGGATGAGGATTAATTCTTCATGAACTATGATGAATGGATACTGATAAAAGAATGATAGCCAGTGACAGAGAAAGTTCTCACACCCAAAAAAAGAAGCAGCCATTTTAATACAGCATTAACTTGCATTGTGACTAATGGGAGAAAGAAGCTGTATCGATCTGGTTTGTTTGGAGGAGGAATAGAGAGATTATGTTGAGCTGAAGATGAATGAATAAAGTAATGGGTGTGTCTAAAGTAGATAACCATGACCTGCATTTACAAACCCGGAGTGTGATGTGAACTGAATGAACACATGCACTGGAAGGAGAAGTTTTAGCAACATCGAAAGCTGTAGATGACCAGCACTTTATGTGCATCTCACCTCTTGTTCGTAATATGATCTATTCGATGTTATAATAGAGGATATTCATTCAATAATAAAAAATGTAGGATAAGACTTTAGTTCAAACCTGAACCAAACATATATTTTTATTCAAAGATCAACAGTCTGTCATTAGTCTTTAGTCTGCCACAAAAAAAAAAAAAAAAAAAAAAAAACATTAAAATCATGACCTCAAATGTCATTGTGAAAAAAAAATGTGTTAGGCTACTGTTGTAACAGTGTACAGGCTAAATCAGACCTAACAGGCTATAGCCTAACGCTAATAAGCCTTATGCCAAAATTATTATTACAACTAAATTGTGGTCATTAAATAGGAAAACTAAATAATTGTGTAGATGATTTGCTTCAAGTGTAACCCGACATCAGACATTAAGGCCCGGCCGAAGTATTTTTTTGCACACAGTGACGCAACCAATCAATCACTCCTTTAATGCTGCGTTCACACCAGACGCGAATAGCGCGTCAAATTCGCGCCTACCCCGTATAGTTATATATACGAATCCATTCGCGCGTCAAGAGCGTTTAGACTGGCTGCCTGCACATTCACTGTCCTCGCGGCTGCTGCAACTTGAGTGGGCTGCTGCAGTACGACTCAACTTCCACGGACAGTTTTTAATGTTTTATCAAGATTTTGCTTTAGTATAATTTTCGGGACAATTAAGGCCGGTTTCGGGATTCGGGATTCCGGTTTCTTAGATTTCGGGACTGTCCCGAATTTTTCGGGACTTCTGGTCACCCTAACCATGCGTCAACATGCCGACGCACATGGTACCCCTTAAGCGTCAATATGAGACGCTCATCCTCGGGCGTCATCTAACTGACGCTTTTGACCATGCGTCTAAATCCGCCGCACATGGCACCCTTTAGCGTCAGTTAGATGACGCTTCCGTTATGGGTAGGTTTAGGTCTGGGGTAGGGTTAGGGTTAGACCACTAGGAGGCGCGTCTCATATTGACGCTTAAGGGGTACCATGTGCGTCGGCATGTTGACGCATGGTCAAAAGCGTCAGTTAGATGACGCCTTGGGATGAGAACTGGCTGCTTTAATTGATCCACAAGGAATTGACTGGAATGTATAAAGCAAATTGGTAAAACAATATCTAAACATCCTAAAACAACATACATTTATTTCGCAAAATTGCGTATTCGTCCATTGGCAATTAGATTTGTCTTGTTTTATGTGTAAACCTGACTAAATATACACTATTGTTAGTTTTTTATGAATCATTTTATTAAGGATGCATTAAATTGATCAAAAGTGACAGTAATGTTACAAAAGATTTACATTTCAAATATACGCTGATCTTTTGAACTTTCTGTTTTTATTAAAAATATATCACGGTTTCTGCAAAAATCAGCGCAACTGTTTTCAACATTGATAGTAATAAGAAATATTTCTTGAGCATATTAGAATGATTTCTGAAGGATCATGTGACACTGAAAGAGTAATGGCTTCCAAAAAGTCAGCTTTTGTGTCTGGAATAAATTTCATTTTATTAAAATAGAAAAGTTATTTTAACTGTAATAATATTTCACAATGTTCCTGTTTTTACTGTATTCTTGAACAAATAAACACAGCCTTGGTGAGCATATAAGAGACTTAATTTAAAACATTAAAAAATATTTCCGACCCCAACCGTTTTGACAAATTTGCCAGTGGTGTAATAAATAAATAT